AGAATCCCAATTGACTGTTTCCAAGGGTTTGGAGCCTCCTCATCCTATTCCAGAAATTTTTGCTGCAAGTAGCAACAGTTTAAATCCACTTTCACGTGCGGCTGCATCTGACTTAGAGCGACACCGTCTTCAAGGACACGTTCCTTATGACCCAAGATGCACGATCTGTGCGCGTGGGAAATCTACTTTTCATCACAGAAGGAGAAAGGAGGGTTCGTTGGAGACTGAGGTCCAGGCGGACTTTGCATTCTTAACAACACGTGGAGAAGTTGTGGATGAAGAGTCAGAGAATACCATAAAAATCTTAGTCCTTACGGAATTAGCTACTAACTGCATTGGATTCGTAGTTACAACAGCCACCACTGATGCAAGGAAGGTCAAAGGCCAGGTCTGCAAATGGTTAGACCACTTTGGGTTATCATCTTCAACAAGTTCAGTGGTGTTGCATACGGATGCAGAAAGAGCGGTTTCAGAATTAGTGGGGACAAGTTCGGAGAAGTACACATTTATGGTGCGTCGTGCACGCCCTCAACAGCACCAATCCAATGGTGGAGCCGAGCGAGCAGTCAGAAGGTTGAAGGAGTCGTTGGCTGTTCTTCGAGCTGAGATGAACGATGGTGGTGCTGATGTGAACTTTTCTGCACGTGGTTTGTCAGATGTTTGCACGTATATTGCATTGAGTCACAATCATTTTTCAAATGCACATGGGTCAGATTTTCACCTCTTGAATACTCAACGCAACGGAAGTTATCAAAACCAAGTTTTGCAATGTTCGGTTCAACAGTGTTAGCTGAATTGCCAGACAGTCTTCGTGCACAGTCACCAAACGAAACGAGAAGCATTGAAGCATGTTTTGTGCATTCAGGTTTAGACACAGGTCCTGTTGTTCAGGGTGCATTGCGAATTGATGGAGAGTTGGTTTTGAAACGTTTTGTTGCACGGAATGTGAGACCAATCACACCCATTGCATGGAAACACATGATAGGTGACCAATTGTTTGTGGAAGTTGAAGGTGCAGATGTTCAAGTTGCGGAGAGTCAAGATAAGCATATGCAAGCGCCTCCAAACGCGCCCCCAGCAGCAATTGCACCAACACCTGCACGGTCAGTAGGTGATAGGCCCCCACTTGAACCGCCGCGACAACCGCGCGATGCACGCGATGACATCGTTGAATACCCAGATGGAGCCCCCAGTGAACTTGTTAGGGAAATGAAGGAACCTGACAACACTACGAGGCCAATGCCAAAGAAGCGACCAAGTGAAACTCCTGTGCCAAAACGTTCCACTGGTATCAAAATTGCCCATCAACCACCTTTGCCAACACCGGCAACAGCGAAAGCAGAACCAAAGACGCCCGCTGTTGTGTCTAAGTCACCTTCAGTTGTCCCAACTTCGCCTGCAACTTCACCAGCAGACTCTTTGCCTGAAGTTAGAGTTTTCCCCAAAACACCAAGATGCCCAGCATGTGACTCTGGAATGGTAGCCCCTGGAATTCGGCACAATGCCGACTGCAAGCGGAGAAGAGCGGAATTTGATGCTGAGAATTCACCAAATGTTGCAGTGGGTAGTCCAGAGAGTGTTGAGGTGAGTAGGGAAAGGTTGCAAGTGCATTTTGAGGATATGGAGGTTGACACTGAGCAAGACCCAGCTCCGGCTGGCGGTACGACAGAAGGTCAGGTTGAGATGGATGTGGAAGAGACTGGAGGAACTAAAAGGGAAGCTGAGCAACCGGTAGAAGAATTAGAAGCTGAGATGGAGCGTGAGAGAGCCTCCGGGCAACCCATGACTCTCGATTTGCTTTTAATGGATGATGCATGTCAATCAGTAGGACCAGTTTTGTGGAGTCTTGAAGCCGGACCAGAGAGGGCAGTTGCAACAAGCCCTGAGTTGTTTGACGATGAGTTGAATTCAATCAAGTTCATGCCAGAACGTGACCATACTTGCGTGAAGGTGAAGCTAGGTGGTACCAATGTTTTGGTGTGGAAGCCCGATGAGGTGATTGATGACAGCTCGTTAATGCAACTTAATGCTGATCTAGGCTTTGAAGGTATGAAGGAAGAGATTGCCAATTTGGAGAAATGTGGAGCAGGAAAGGTGATAGGCCAAGCAGAGGTTGATGCATTGAAGAAAAAGAATCCAAGCATGCGTGTGATCCCAAGCCGTTGGGTGTCAGCATACAAGAGTGAGACAAGGGTCAGAGTTAGGATCGTAGCCAAAGACATCAACAAAGGTGTCTCTGCACGAAAATTAGGAATTTCTAGCCCTACTCCGAGCATTGAGGGCTTGCATTTCGTGTTGTCACTGGCTTCGAGACGAGCTCTACGACTTAAAGGTCTTGATGTCTCACACGCATTCATGCATTCTCCTCTACCTCGTGGTCTTGTCATCGTCCTCAAGCTACCTTTATCTGTCTCTATGATGGATGGTTCTCCTGCATATCTCTTGCTCTACAAAGCGCTGAATGGTCTTCAAGATGCGTCACTGCATTGGTTGAATTTGCTCAGTGACTCCATTCGAGGAGTTGGCCTTGTTTCGGATGAAGTTGAACCTTGCATTTACCAGGGTATTGTGCATGGAGAAACTGCATTGCTGGTAGCCTATGTTGATGACCTTCTTCTTTGTTGTCAAACTGCACGTAGTGAGAAGCTGGTTGAGAAAGCAATTGGGAAAGCAGTCCCGCTGAAAGAGACTGGCGTAATCCTACCCGCCGAGCAAGGTGGAGGTGCACTGACTTTATTGGGAGGAGAATTCAACGAGGAGCAACGGATGATTCATTGTCAATTGGTGTTGACCCAAAGTTTCTGGATACAACCTTTGTGGAATTCAGTGTGAACAAGGGATCCAACACCCTGCCTGATGTTGCAGCAGTGCTTGAAAGAGCCTTGACGGACAAAAGCATGCAACAGCCGTTGACGGCTGCAGCTTACTCGAGGTTTCGGAGGGCACTTGGCAAGCTGTTATGGATGGCACAGTCACGGCATGATCTGAAATTGTTTCTTAGTCTGATAGGCTCACAGCAAGCTGCTCCTACGCATGGTACTGAAATGGCAATCAAAGCTTTGCTACGTTTTTTGCATGGAGATGTGGGAACTTGTCTGCGGCTTCCATCGCCGAAGTACGAGGAACTTATGATTGGAGCTGCACGACATTGCATTCTGCACTCTTTTTCAGATGCTTCCTTTGCACCATATAGATTCAATGGCAGAAAGGGGATTACAGGTGGTGTGGTTTTCTGCGAAGGTGGACTTGTGCGATCCATGGCACGCCAACAACAGTCAATTTCACTTTCGTCTTGCGAAGCCGAGCTCTATGCACTGCAAGCTGTATCTCAAGAAAGTGTGGCTTTCAGCCAATTCTGTCAGAGGGTCTATGTTGGTTTGGGAGAGATGCAACCGAGGAGTGTGCCAAAGATTCTGTTAGAATCCGATAGCTCTTCTGCATTGCAATTGCTTGTGGGCCAGGATATACCTAAGAGGAGCAGGCATGTGGAGATTCGTTTGGCATGGATGAAATCCAAAATGGCTTCTGGAGAACTCGAGATCGAGCACCGAGCAGGAACTGAGAATGTTGCTGACCTGTTCACAAAGTGCCTGAGCACGAAAGACTTCCTACGTCATCGTGCAAGCTTAGGTTTTGAAGCTGTGGAGGTGCCTGCCAGGGATCTTCGATCAGTCAATGACATGTTGCTCGTCAATGATGTTGTTTCTGGAAAACAAGAGATTGCATTTGTCGAAGTGTGCTGTGGCACGAATTCAGCTCTTCGTGATGCATGTCGAGTTGCTCGAATGCCCTATGTTGGAGTTGTGAAAGAGGTTGAGACCGATGCAATGTTTGCACGAGTGAAGCAGTTTGTAGAGGTCCAAGCTCAACTTGGGTATCGCTGGATTCATGTGCATGCCTCTACTCCGTGTAGCTCAGGCTCACCGTTGAAACATTTTGGAACTGGAGGTTTGAGTGAAGCCGATGTTGCATGGGAAGGCATCATGAAAGCTGTGCCTAAGTATTTGACTCTGGGGAATTCGAGATCATTTGAACTCCCAAGGAACAATAACATTTGGAAGAGAGATGAAACCAAGCATGTTTTGAAGCACTGTGGTTTAGAATTTGAATCAGAAGTGTTTCTTTGTCAAACTGGATGCAAAGCGGACAATGGTTTGCCTGTAGGGACATGCCTCATTTTTCGAAGCTCATTTTCAGGTTTTTGCAACGTGTTGACAAAACGTTTTGGATCGTGCACATGTGGGAAGCATGCTGGTGTGATGGATGTTAACTGGGTCCGGACAGGATCTTATACCAAGGAACTTGCTAAAGGAATTTTAGCAGCTGTGAGAGCTGCACGTCGCGCCGCATGACTCACCAAGGAACACCGCATGAATTTCCTTAGGAATTCATGCAACAACCAGAGAGAGAAGTTTTTTTTGGCATGTCCTGTCTCCGGACAGCGCACAGTTTAAGAGGGGGACAGGTATGCTGGAGATGTTTTCTAGATTTGCATCACTGAGCTTGCTCAGTGTGTCTATGTGAAACCAAGTATTGGCCGGGTGGGAGGGTGGGGATCACTGAGTTGACGGTTTCTAGATTCCGTTGGTTTTACAAATTTTTGATGTCCCTGTTTATTTGTTGGCAGTGCCTTCAACAGTTTACAACCTGGATGCCTGATACAACACTTCATGTCAAACCTCGTGAAATTGGCAGTTCATTTCGTGTGATGTGTCCTGTTTCCTTGTGGTTTATTTCCTGTGCTGCTTGTGGAGTTCAATTGAAACGACAGAAACAGATGAGACTGTTTTATGTTTTCTGCTGGTACAATCTGGTTTTCGCTGTGCTGTTTGAAATTTTTCTGAAAGAGTTTCGTTGGAGTTTGAGTACAACATTGATCAAGTTCCTGGAAGACACTTCGAACATTACATATTCGAGAAGCGCTGGCTTCAAAATCAGTTTGAGGTAGGGGGGGGCGTTTCACTTTCCAATCTTGATTGGACGTAGATTCATGGTTTCATATGGATACTGCATGGCCTGCTGTCGAACCAGGGTTGCTCAGCTTTTTGCAACGGGTCTTTGTGTCTCCATTGCGTTTGGACGCAGCATTTGATGGAGATGCCGACTGTGAAGAGATGCTGATTGAGGCATTCCCTCATTTGATAGATGAGGAAAGGCGCAACACTACTGCAATTTTGCTGCAGTGGAAGGCGGAAGTCAGCAGGCCATTGAAGCGGGTGAGAAAGGAAATGGTTTCATCTACAATGCATGTGCTCCCCCTGCCAGATGTTTTGAATGTGCAGGATGAATATCAACGCATCACGAAAACAAGTGTTCATTGCATTTTGGAGATGCATTCGAAGCGGAAGCAGAAGAAATATAGAGAAGATGCACCTGATGTTCGGTCCAAGAAGTTTGAATCGGAGAGGAGGAAGTATTCCTTGCTTTTGGCTCAGGTGATGATCAGTGCACAGCTGCCGATTGTGGCCCTCATTCAGACTCTGGACGACGCCAGTTCTGCCTGGGTTCATATCTTTGCTGCAAGGAGGGCCAACACCTTGAAATCTAGGTATAAGGTCTGGAAGCCATTTGAGAAGTGGCTGGAGATGCATCGGGGCTACCTTTTTCCCCAGTCCGTAAAGGATGCCATCGATTACATGCAGCACAGGGTCGACAACGGTTGTGGAAGGACAGTTCCAGAGTCATTGAGCATCACTCTGGGTATGTTGGAGCGACTTGGGCGGGTGCCAGACTCTGCAAAGATTTCTGATGATCCATTGTGGAAGGGACACATCAAATCATGGACTGCAGAGCTCAGTGAGGACTCACCGCCGAGAAAACCGGCAGAGATGTTCACGGTGGCGATGGTGATTGCATTGGAGCTCTTGGTTGTAGAGGAAGGTGCAACAATCTTTTCCAGGGCATTGGCATGGATGGTCCTCGTGATGATTTGGGGCGCCATGAGATGCGACGATGTCCAGGCGATCATTCCCAGGCGCTCCTTCCTTTCGAATTTTGGGTTGAAGCTGATTTTGGGAAAGTCGAAGACGACTGGTCCAGATAAGGTGCAAAAAGAAGTGGCGGTGCATATTTTTCGCACCATTTCTCTGACGGGAGAGGATTGGTTGAGGTCTGGTTTCAACATCTGGGAGTCAGATGAATTCAGTTTTCCCAGGGACTACATGGTGATGGAGCCCAGCAAGGATTGGACGAAGGTGAGACGCAAATTTGTCGCACCGTCAGCTCTCAGTTCTTTGATTGCGAAGTTGCTGAGCACACTTAGTTGCCCAAGGCGGTCTGGGCTTGGATGGGAGTTGATGCCCCACATTCTTTTGTTGCCAGATGGATTGGAATCATTTTTCTCAGGTCACAGTGCGAGGAATTTCTTGACCTCGATTGCTGCGGTCATTGGGTTCTCTCGCGATGAGAGGGCATTTCTGGGACGGTGGTCAATGGGCATGACTTCGTCAGAGGAATATGTCAGGACATCGAGACAGGTGGTCTTCAAGATTCAGAAGGCGGTCAACAGGTCGCTGGTCGAGGGACTTGAAGAAGTCTACTATGAAGATGAACCCATTCAAAGGTTGTGCGATGCAGCTGAGAAAGCTGGGGCGAACCCCAATCGCATCAAGAAGAGACACTCGGTGCTTTCTGATTGGGGTGGCAGACAGTCACTCGGAGGTATCTACCCCACGTTGACCATTCTCGATGGGGATTGGGATGACGGAGAAGGCGATGACATGGCCTTGGCTGCCAAGGTTGCCGACATGTCCCACAGGGAGGCAGCCGACGAAGTTCATACTGCAAAGTACTTCATCACGGTCTCTCGAAGAACGTGCTTGAGGCGTTTGCACCTCAGTGGATGTTTTGTCAAGCCTGACAGGTGTTGCGAAGTGTCATACCTAGACCAAGTGACTGCTGATGATTTTGATTCAGTGTGCCAAGCTTGCAAGAAGAAAATGGTTGCAGAGTGTGGTCGTGAGAATGGGGACCAGTCCTCGTCGACGGCATCATCAACGTCCACGGCCTCAGAGAAAGACGGGGATGAAGTTCCTTTGTGATCAGTGCAGTCCGAGTGGATTGAAAACATGGGCAGATTTGGGATTGATGTTTAGACATCTGGCAATCTGTCGGTCGTTGTGTTGAGGTTCTTCTTTTCTCTTTCGTTCGAGGCTTCTTAGGTAAGAGGTCTGTCGTGCTCGGTTTCTCCTTTTCTTTTCGCTTTCGTTCGAGGCTTCTTAGGTTGCCGGGTTTTGACACTGCATGTTGGCATGTGCATTGCAATTCATTTGTTGTTGTTTTGATGTATGTGGAGTCGCATATTTTTATTTGAGAATTGATTACGGGGGGCCAATGTCATGAGAGTGCGTTCAGACGCGGCACACAACTTGGGTGGAGTGACACATGTTCAGACATTGTCCGTGACTGATGGTTCAGACCTCAGGGTACCATCTAGTCATTCAAAACAGCAGCATTCAAGCAGTTTTATTTGAGTGAGTCAGATCTCACTTTCTTTGGTGGTTGGCATTGGCTGTTCCAGTCCCCCTGACCCCAATGCCAGTTTTATGGCTAGGGCCTTAGACCTTTTGACACCAGCGCCAGGTTTGAGGCATAGGGCTTCTCAGTTGTGTCTTATTTCATTTTCACTGTCGCCGCGCGGGTGGGTCGCTTGACCGAGCCATGGACCCAGTTGCACAGAGACAGTATGTTCAGACGAACATGGATTCTGACTTACAATTCATCCTTGGAGAGTCAGGGGTGATGTTGGAACACCAAGTTGCAATTGCCAGGCACTATGGGAATCTCAGGAAGTTCACTGCTCTAGGTGATGACAGGGCATCCATCAGGACTTCTTGTTTGCAGGACTTTGCAATCGTGGCCGACACCCCAGAGCGTAGATCACAGATTGCTTCAATTGTAGCTGCATGGGAAACGGCAAAGGAGTACATGTCAAAAGAAGTTGAACTCAAAGCAGAAGCCAAAGTGTTAGGGCAGCCACGTGTTCTTCAGATCCATGAGAGGCAGGCTATGCTACGTGCTGTGGAGGCGATTCATGGAGTCCTAGGAGATTCAGAATGTCCTTCACCGGACTACCTTGCGATCAAGGCAGAGGAAACAGAATGCAACGAACCCACAGCTGCACCCCTTGATGAGATTTTGAGTAAGCAGTCTTCAAGCAATTCAGTTATTCAGTCGGCTGTTGACAACACTGGACACATCCGAGTGACCAGGACGAAAGCCAAGGCAAAGATGCCAGCGACAACGGAAGAGTACAGGAAAACCATGAAGGTCGAGGCCTTTACTTGGTTGTGCATGGCTTCGCGTTACAAGGCCAAACACTGGTTGCATGGGTTGACAATGGAGCCTTTCTTGAAGTTCACTGAGTACATTTTGGGGGATCGGGTATTTGGTATTCAGATCCCTGCAGCATCTGGAGAAGCTTCGCAACAGAAGGTTCGGCCAGAATGGTCGATAGTGCTTGCCTACGAACAGAGGCTCAGGAAGGAGGCCATGAAAAAGGTCTTGGAAGGACACACATTGAGTGAGTCATTGCTTGCTGTCATCAGGGATCCCGACTTGAAGGAGGCGTACTTCACCACGCCAGTGGCACTCAGGTCAGCCTTGTCGGAGCCTCAACAACAACCTAACAAGTGGCCACGATTCAACAGCAAAGGTGGCTTCAGTGGCAAACAGTCTTCAAGTTTTCCAAAAGGGAAAGGAAAGCACTCCAAGGGCAAATCGAAAGGCAAGCCCATTGACCAGCGGTTGAAAGGCCTTAGCCTTGCTTGGAGGACACCAGATGGTCGCGAGCTCTGTTTCGCATGGAATGGTGGGGACTGTGGTGGCTCTTGCGGCAGGGTCCATCAATGCCGTGTCAAAGGTTGCTATGGTTCCCACAAAGCAATTGGCCATAGCAAGAATCAGGGGTCGTGACATTCGAAGAGTGTGGGCCCTCCCAGCAGTCCCACACGGTCTCAGGCTGAGAAACCCATTTTGAAAGTGGTTTACCTTTTTGCTGGGAAGAAACGGCATTCTGATGTTGCGGCATTCTTGAAGAAAGCTGAAACTGAAGGAGGCGTTCAAGTTGAGTTGCATGAGTTTGACATTGAGCGGTCCCCACAGCATGATTTGACAGACACTGCATTATGGGACAAGATTTTTGATACCCTCAAAGAGGGGAATTGGGTTTTGATCGTGTCACCACCTTGCAATACGTTTAGCAGGGCTCGTTTTCAGAATCGATGTCACCCTGGCCCAAAACCGTTGAGAACGAGGATGTGGCCCCGAGGTTTTCCCTGGTTGAGTGCGGCACACAGGGCAAAGGTCGATGAAGCAAATTCTTTGGTGGATAGATGCATTTATGCTTGTCAACTTGTGGCTGAATCTGGTGGTCATTTTTTGCTTGAGCATCCCGAAGACCTGGGCACAGTTGAGGGCGAACAACCAGGATCTATTTGGCAGTGGCCTGAAGTTTTAGAACTTATTCCTTGTTGCAATGCAGTTTCTTTTGCAATTCATCAATGCCATTTTGGTGCACCAACTCCAAAGCCTACACGTTTCATGACAAACATGGAAGTTACAGACAAACGTTGTCACATTGCCCTGCCGAAGTTCGACAGGTTTGGATTTTACAAGGGCCCGTTTATGCTTGCGCATCCTCCGGAAGGGGCGGAAGGGTCAAATCCACTGGTACCAAAAGGGTCGAGAAAGCAGAGAACACTGTTGAACAATCACCCAATAAAAAGGCGAAGGTTTCTCTTCCCGAGCAAGTTCAGGTTATTCCCTCAGATTCGGAGGAAGAGCGAGGCAGTGCCTCTGGAGCTTTCCAGGCAGCAACAACAGGAACAGGGAAAGAACCCACAGATGCAACGACAGTTACAACAACGGCTGCATCAACAGATTTGGAACATACAGTTGAGGGGGACACGGAATTTGACATTGGGGCTTGCCACAACACCGGAAAACCCATTTCAGTGGAATGGGACAGGACCTGCAAGGACTTCACTGATGGTTTTGGTTTGTGCAGTCCATGCAGGTGGCGTCCTCAACAGAGGGGCACGAGAAGGAGTCCTGACATGGTGCAGTTGGCTAACAACACTTTCGATTGTTTGGCGCAGTGCGTAACGGCTGAGATTCCTGACTTAAGGTTGTTGGCATTCAAATTGGTCACTGGAAAACTTCTTGAATCGCCTTTTTCTGAAGGGGCTCTGACGAAGGTGCGGGCAAAGTTGAGAGATTCTTGAAAAGAAACTCGATTTTATTTCCTCACGCAACCCTGGTTTGTGTTTTTAAGTTTTGTTTTTGTGGTCAAACAAAACAACGATAAACACAAACCTCACCACACATACACATATCAATTTTATATAATATTGTGGCATTTCCACTCAAGGGTAGGGAGGGTGGGTGTCTCCAAAAATTTTGACAAAAGACTTGTCAGAAGGGGACTAGTTAGAGCTTCGGTCTTGGGTAGATGCCATGGTTGTCCATCTCGTAGTGTCACCTGAGAAACGTGTTGTTGCAGACACCCAGGAAACAACAGTTGAGCATGGTGTGCAAAATTTTAGTGAACCTGTTCCTTTGCAGAGTTGGTACAATTTTGCACTATCAGGTTTGGACACTGCAGGACCCAGTGACCCAACTTCTATGACCCGTGACTTTTTGGAGACTGACGCCAATCTGGACGGACTGTTTGGAAATGACTTGGCCGAAGAGTTCACAAATCTGAGTGCATGTGGTGACAGCGCATCGGCAAAACCTTCTTTGGGCAGATCGTCGGAGTTTGGGCCTGAAAATTTACCCATAGTTTTTGGTGATGCAGTTGAAACAGAGATTGACTCAAGGGTTTTTGACACTTGCACCTCAGTGGAAGTTGCTTCAAGATCTATCCCTGCACAGACCTTGGAACCAATTTGGGAGCAAGGAATTTGGGGCGTTATTTTTGGAGACAAACAGGTGCTTGATGCTTACAAACCTTTTGGAGAAGATTTGAATAGGCCGATAGATACTTCCATTTCACAAAGCAGTGGTGGGGACGATCAACCTCAAACTACAAGAGTCAGAACTGATTTGCAGTCAGGCCTGTCCGATCATGATGTGGTTCAGGACAAGCCGGATGTTCCCTGGCAGGAGCAACGAGATGCCGATCTTCAGAGCTCAGTGAAATTTTGGGTTGCGCTTGCCAACAGATGGGAGTCAAGTTGCAGTTTGGTTGTAAGTATGATGGAGCTTGCATTCACTAGCAGGATTTTCACGATGTTTGCTCACTGGTTTGCTGGTAGGTCTCCTGTCACCATACGCAAACGAGGGTACAGCATGATGCGATTGTGCGATTACCTTGACACCTTACAGTTGCAACTCCCATGTGCAGAAGCTGTCTTTTACAACTTCCTTTGCAATGAGCAGTTGTCAAATGCACCACAGTCGAGGTTGAAGGCTTACATGCAGGCGGTCAACTTTGTACAACATGTCATGTCAGACCATGAAGCTAGCCCTTCGACCGTCAGCGCTAGGTGCAAAGGGGCTTGTCTGGGAGAACATCTCAAAGAACGAGTCCAAGCATCTCCATTGAAAGTGATCGAGCTCAGGTGCATTCATGACCTTTTATATTCACATGACCACTTGTGGGTACGCCTATTCTGCGGTGCATTGCTTTTTGCAGCCTATTGCAGGGCACGGTGGGGAGACCTCATGAGATCAGAGAATGTCATAGTCGATCGTGACCACAGTGGTCAACTTCGACACCTGGAAGTTAGAACAGGAAGACACAAGACCATGCAGGCTCAGCTTCATTGTCATCAGCTCCTGCCTATGGTTGTTCCGTGCCACGGGATAGGTGGAAAGGATTGGGGATCGGCCTGGATCCACGTGAGAAATGAAATGAAGTTGCATTGGCCCCCAGAGGGTCTTGTTATGCCAGCTCCTGGACTTCAGGGACAGGTTACAGGGAGGCTATTGGAGACACAAGAGTGTGCTGCCGGGCTGCGCAGAATCGTGAGAAGAAAGTGCTCGACATCCAGGATGAACCTCACGCCCTGGAAGAGTCGAGCTCTGAGAGTGATCCTGAGTCCAGTTCAGCTCCAAGCAAATAAGAGAGACCAGCAGTGATCATTCATCAGCCGGTCTTCCAACCCACGTCGGCACCTGAAGGGTTGTGATGTGGCAGCATAGCAAGTTGAAGACACTCCACCTCATGACAGTGGGGAGTAGCAGGGTTTTTGCTTGTGGTAGATGAGCCGGGGCCTTACGTTGGCGTCTAGATGTGGCACCAAAATTTGACACTTCACCTGCACCGTTTGTTTCAATAGGTCCAGGGATTGAACTTGGTTTTCCGAGTTCAACATTTTCAATGGTTGAAGGAAACAGGCAGGTGACGACGTCGTGCACTCATGTCTGATTGTTATGTTCATGCAAACGGCCTGGACCCCATTCCACCATGAGACAGTCAAAGGCACTCGGGTGTTGACCCTTGTTTTCACCAAGCGGCGTCAGTTGACGGCTCACCAAGAGCTACGGGTCGGAGCGCTCAGATGTTTGTGATGGAGCTTAAGTTTCAGACAGGTTGCATTCTTCAATCTTTGTTTAGTGACCAGAGATGCTCAGCGCCTGAACTGGATCGGACACATGAGTTCCGAAAGGAAAAGTGCAGCGTGCGCTGGTTGGTGATGCATCTTTGTTTTGGTCGAACGTACAAACATGTGCAAAGCTTAGACGTCACCTTTCATTATCATAACTTGTTTTCCAGTGCATGTTCATTCAGTGCTTGCTTGTTGATTTCAATGGCACATCACAGACCGGTGCCAGAATTTTTCATGTGATGCGTTGCGAATTTCGTTGGAGTTATGCTCGGCGAAAGAGAGGACGCGTGATCATGAAATGCACAAGCCGAGCAGTGTTTTCCTTTTGCGTTGGCAAGGATTCAAACTGTGGTTTGAAGAATCTTGTGCAATGCGTTGCAACATGCAAGTCAGAAAGAATCGTTTTCAATGAGTCGCGAGTTCAATTTTGCTTTAGATTTTCCGGTCCAGCCATGAGCTTGATTGAGTCGACGGCATCCTTCAGACAAAGATGTGACGAGATCACACCAGAGGGAACTCTAAAAGGAGCTCTTGACGGTCAGGCCATCCGGACTCACAGGGCAATGGCTTTCACAATGGGGACACCTCAGATGGCGCCGACTGAAGACCATTTCACTGCTCTGGCCACCAGGGTATTTGCCGGGCTTCAAATTGCAGTCCAGATGTCGGCCATCAGGGGGATACGCTTCGAAAGCACTGCACTGGTGATTTCAACAATACGTGAGAAAGATACCAGCGAAGGTTCTGAGAAGGTTGACATGGCAAAGAAGATACCTTTGGCCGAGGAAAAGCAACGACGAGGAGATCAACTGGCAAGGCTCGATGGGATCTCCATGACAGGAGAGTTGGATCCCAGTCATGCTTCGCCTGATTTAGCAAACCAGATGCTCGAAAGTGGAGAAGTCATGTGGCTTGCGCCGTCAAAGTGCAGCAAAAGGGATGACGAAGTGCAGATGGCCTTGAGGGACCCAAAGTCTTCAGTGCAGATTGAAAATTCGCAGCTCCGTGTTAGACCTAGCTTAGAATCGGTTCAAGCTGAGTGGAACTCAGAACTCAAGTACCAGTGGTGCATGATGAGGAGGGGACTGGCATTCGACCAGCGCCGTGTTCTGAGTTGGAGCGTGCGCCAACACTGGCCCAACTACATGTTGATTTGGTTGACACCACCTGTCAGCCAGGGCTTCCAGCAGTTCAAGCTCGATCAATTGGTTCGAGTTGATAGAGTGCCATGGACGCTTCTTGCACAAGAGGTCACCGGCAGTTTGAAGATGGATGGGAACGAGGTGTCGCTGGACGAACATGTTACGTTGCTTTCCACAGACCCCAGGGAGGCGTTGCTTTTGCTCCCAATGCCATCAAATCAACGAGTGGCTGAGGCTCCTGACAAGCCCGAACCTGCACTCAATGCGCCTCCCGCTGGACCGGCAGCAAAAGGATCTGGAAAGCGCAAGACGAGGGCAGGGAGAATCTGCCCAAAGGAGCCCAAAGGTTACACAACGACGGCAGATGCAGGCCAGATTTGTTGGAGCTACGACTTGAAAGACGGATGTCAACTTGCTACAAATGAAAAGCCTGCCAAGTGCTCACGTGGATTGCACTTGTGCGAATGTTGTCACAAGCCAGGGCACTCCATGGTAGTGTGCCACTAAGCAAAGAAGGGTTGACGAACCACTGAACCTTCCCTCAAAGTTTGTGAAGAGGGGGAAAGAGGTTCAGGTGGGAGACAACACTCGATGCAGAGCGAGGGCACTTTTTGCCTCCATGCTCGTGATGTTTGCACCATCGCCGAAGGTGAGGGTTTTCACAGTGGGGGAGCCGCCCAATGGCGAGAACCCTTTTGATTTCACCAAGTCGCCCGAGGAAATGCAAAACAGCAGCACTCAGGCAAAATTCAGATGCAACAAAGATTTCACTGGCATGTCGTTGGAAATTTGTATATTGTGGAACCTTGTGCTGGCTCCGCAAGATTGTCAAAGGTTGCGCACAAGTTTGGCTTTTGGCGACTATGTCACAAATTTTTGTAAACCCACAAAGGGCAAAAGATCTGGAAGGTTACCTCAAGACCCTTCCAAAAGGCGCCAAAGTGGTCTCCCGCCACCTTGTTACATGGGGCGTTTTACAGGCGGCTCGACAAGGGAACAAAGCCAAATTTTTGGAGGTTATAGAAGGGGCAACTGTCGAGAAACAAAGCCAAATTTTTGGAGGTTATAGAAGGGGCAACTGTCGAGAAATTCGCATTGCCCACAGGTCAAACATATGATCCAAGCGAATTCCATTGATGGACCGGCCGCGGTGTCCATGAAACGGGCGCGGTGGCCCGAAACGAGTAGCTTTTTCAAAAATATGTCGAGCGAGCAGCCGAGCTGACGGAGGAGAGAGAAGCCTTGAGAACAAAGATGCCCCCACATGTCCTTCCGCTGGTTGGAAACAAGCGCTTGGCACTATGGCATAAAATTTTTTGCTGACCATGGATATCCAGCTACACCAATAGCAAATGACATAGCTGCTGGATTCGAACTGAGTGGCCGGTTGCCCCGGACAAACGTCTTCAAGACCAGGACTAAGAGGCCCTCCATGCGCCTTTCCACTCTTCGGGCCTTAGCCAAAGCTTTGAACTCCTAGACGTACCGAAACCTGGAGATGAGGCAAGATACAGAGCTGGAGGCCGCCACTTGGAAAGAAACCGTCGAGGAAGTGAGCAAAATTGGTCTTGGTTCAACGAAGAAGAGGGCACCACCACTTGCAAGTTCATTGGCAAACGCTTCGGGATCAAACAGTCTAGCAGGGTAAGAGGCATGGATGATTGCTCATGTTGCGGTCCGAACTGGACGGTTGGTTTGCGCGAGAAGTTTCAATTGCAGTCAATCGACATCCCTGCTTCAATGGTTGCTGAGGCCTTCGAGTCCTCTCCCAATGGATGCCTTCCTTCGACCCTTGGAAGGTCTCCGGTGAATGGCATGGTGAAGCTGATCGGCTTCACTGCACTCCCTTGTGGAACAGTGGGGAGTGTGGCGGGCTTCCTTAGGGTTGGCTTAGCAGTATGGTTCATAGGACTTGTGGCATTGCAGGCATGTTGGAAGGTTTTCTACGATGGCTACATCGTCCTTGGCGGGAGTGAATTTTTTGGGCAACACTTCATGGAGTGTCTAAACTCTTTACGGCTTGCCGAGCTTGACTTATGCGAAGAAGGGAAGAAGTTTACGCCATTCGATGAGAAGTTTCACATTGTTGGGACTGGGAACAGACTTGAGTTATTGCTGCAGCGGAAAACCACCATTGGTCACACTGACGACCGCCAGACTGAATTGGTAACTGGGATCAACGATGTCCTGGTAGAAGGTTGGATGAATGCGGAGCGTCTGAGAGGGCGCATGATATTTTTCAAAAGCTACGCCTTCGATCGTCTGCCGAAAGCGGAGATCAAGAATGTTGGAAGATTCTGTGTGGAAGTTTCTGGTCAAAAGCAGCTGTACTCTTAGCGATACATGGAAAATCTTCACTGAGGGAGCTTGCGATCCTGAGCAACGTTGTGAGAGCGTCGGTGGCCTCATAATCTCTCCCCTTGGAACCTGCCTCCGCTTCTTCAGTTAGGTGGTTCCAACAGACATCACCGAAGAGCTCTTCAAGTTGTCCTGCAATCCCGTCCACGAATTTGAGGTCCTCCCTGTCTTCATAGCATGTCCTGAATGGAGAGACAGTTTTGAAGGGTTGCTTGTGGTGTGTTACATAGACAATGAGTCATCGAGGATAGCTTATGTGAGAGGGAGCGGAGTGACGCTTTTTGCCACGCACCTCATTAGTGATTTCGTGAAACTGGAATCTCAGAGACAGCACCAATGGCTGGTTCGGTCGATGCCCCGGCCATAGCAATCCGTCAGATGGAGCAAGCCGCTCGACTTGGAGTAGTTCAAAGACAAAGGTGCCAGCCAAACCAACCTTGACTGGGAGCGGCTGAAGCATCGCCTTGGACTAAAAGGGGAGAGGGCGGAAAGGCGATGATATTGCCCCATCTGCGGTGAAAAAAGATGCTGTGCTGTTTCTGTTTTTCCCTCACATGTCAATGCAATCGATCTCGAGCGTTTGTCCGATTTTAATTTTCCGAACGATTCGATTTGGATCGAGGCGGAATCAGTTTCAAAGAACGACGTATGAAAGCAACAGCGTTTCATACATGATACGTCATATATATGTACTTCTCTCACACACAAGCATGACCTTTACATAGTCGCTCTGCGTATACACCTAAGGGGTTCAACGTGAGCGGTATGTGCTATGTGTTTTGTGTGGTGTTGTGGAGTTGGAAATAAGATTTTTGACCTTCTCCCTGATCCGCAAGACGCTGGAGTGGTTGACGCGGGGCAGCCTTTTTATTTACGGGCACTGGCACAGTGGTTGCAAGAGTTTGGGGATCCAGATGCGAAATGGTTGGTGGACGAGAAGGGTTCTTTTGCAACTGGAGTTTGTTTGGGGGTGGAGCAGCCTCTGCCGAGGTCGCCTCAAGTTTGTCCCCCTAAGTTGAAGCACAGGCGCTTGGATGAGACCGAGTTCATGGCAGTGGCACAAAATTATCCTTCGGCCCAGATTTCAACGAAGGAGCTTGAGCAGAAATTTCGTGAGGAGGAGGATTTGGGTCGCATGCATCCCTCCAAGATGGGGGTGCTTCGTGAAGAATTTGGTGACCGTCTTCGAGTTGCTTCAATGGCGGCAATACAGAAGCCAGACGGCAGTGTTCGTCCACTTCATGACGCGACCCATTCTGTGATGGTCAACCATGCCATCCTGTACCAGGATAAAATCGAATGCCCTGGTCCAGCTGAGATCGCTGCCATTGTCAGGGAGGCAACTGAGACAAGGGAGGCACCGTTTTGTGTGAGTGCAGACATACGCGCAGCACACAGGCTGGTCAAGATAAGGAGGTCCGATTGGGGCTACATGTGTTGCAAAGCAGATTCCAACTCCGATACAATTTGGGTCAACAGGGTTGGCACTTTTGGCGTGTAGAGTGCGCCTTACTGGTGGTCGAAGTTGGCTGGACTGATTGGCAGGTTTGTTGGTTACTTGTTTCATCAGCGTTGGATGATGCACATGATCTACGTGGACGACCTCCATGGAGTTTTCGCTGGGGAATCTAAATTCCTTTTTCTTTGGGTTTGGCTTTTGGCTTTTGAGGTGGCAGGGACCCCATTTGGATACCACAAGTTCAAGGGTGGTTTTGCTTCAGAATTTGTGGGGTTCCAGATACGTTACGACTTGACGGAAGTTGGCATTTCCACCAAGCGTGGCACCTGGATCATTGATTGGATCGACCGTGCAATGGCCAACAGGTATGTTGTTCAGGCCCGTGATTTTTCAGAGTTCTTGGGGAGGCTTGGGTTCATTGCACAACTGCTGGTGTGGCTTAAACCACATCTTTCACCTCTCTTCTCATGGGCTGCGGTGACAGCAGCGGGGACTGTTTGCAGACTTCCTGACACGGTCATCCTGACGTTACAATACATTGCCAACGAGTTCAAGCGGGAAACATTCTTGGTTTCAGCGCGCAGGCCTCAACATTTCCGAGGGGAGCGCTTCAGAACAGACGCTAAGTGCACAACTGAGTTTGTGGTACTGGCTGGATGGGAGATTGGTACAAAAAGGTGGTTTTCTATCAAGTTGGGTCCAACGGAAGTTCCGTACCTTTTCAAGCCTGGGATTGGAGCGCAGTGGGCTTCAACATCTGCGGAGTTGCTGGCATCATGGCTGGCGTTACATATGTTTGGCTGGCTTGGCGAGACGAGAGAGAGGAAAGCTTTGGAGATCTCTCTAGTGGGAGGTACCGACAACAAAGCCAATGAGTCATTGACGAGCAAGAGGTCCACCACACGATGGCCATTGATGGGGATCAACATGCAATTATCCTCAGCGCTGTCCAGGGCGCGGCTTAGCCTGGGGCTACGTTGGAGGCCGAGGGATGAAAACACTGAAGCGGATCAGCTCACCAATGAAAATTTTGAGGGTTTTGACGACAAGCTGCGTTTACATGTTTGTTGGGACAGTTTGGACTTGCAAGTCTTGGAAGGCCTGATGCACACGAGAGGGGTTTGAAACAGCCCGGGCAACAGCACGGGAACTTGCAAAGCAGGCACCTAAGGTTGGAAGTAAGAAGTTTGACAAGTCTCCGTGGTAGGAGAGGAACACAATGCGAGCTTGCTCCACTGGCCTCCTCTAAAGTTGTGGAGGTTGAAAAGGAGACCACTGGAACAATTTCTGATGAGAAGTTTTACGATTTACAAATGTGATGCTTTCACTTTCACTGCAAGATGGATTTCACTATGCATGCTTTTGGGCACTACGATTTATCTGTGGCGCATTGGAGCGCACCTTGAAGAGGATCGATGCGTGAGACACCACCACCTGCTGAACAAAAGTTGCGTGTGCTTTCAACCGGTGATGTCATCACAGTTGCATTGATTTCAGTTTCAGTTGGATGTCAGTGTTTACAGACATGGCCACACATTTGGTGTTTGCAGTGTTGGCGTCTTCGGCGCGTTGTTTGTTGGCGCTTCGCGTTGGTATCGCGTAAGTTTCCCCTTTACTGGTCCCTCTTACCTTTCCAATACTTTGTGTAGCGTAGGCATCACTGAGCTTGCTCAGTGTGTCTATGTGAAACCAAGTATTGGCCGGGTGGGAGGGTGGGGATCACTGAGTTGACGGTTTCTAGATTCCGTTGGTTTTACAAATTTTTGATGTCCCTGTTTATTTGTTGGCAGTGCCTTCAACAGTTTACAACCTGGATGCCTGATACAACACTTCATGTCAAACCTCGTGAAATTGGCAGTTCATTTCGTGTGATGTGTCCTGTTTCCTTGTGGTTTATTTCCTGTGCTGCTTGTGGAGTTCAATTGAAACGACAGAAACAGATGAGACTGTTTTATGTTTTCTGCTGGTACAATCTGGTTTTCGCTGTGCTGTTTGAAATTTTTCTGAAAGAGTTTCGTTGGAGTTTGAGTGCAACATTGATCAAGTTCCTGGAAGACACTTCGAACATTACATATTCGAGAAGCGCTGGCTTCAAAATCAATTTGAGGTCCCGCCCGACCCATCCCTTGGGTTGTGGCACTACGCTCACGCATGAGGGGAGGTTGAAAAGGAGACCACTGGAACAATTTCTGATGAGAAGTTTTACGATTTACAAATGTGATGCTTTCACTTTCACTGCAAGATGGATTTCACTATGCATGCTTTTGGGCACTACGATTTATCTGTGGCGCATTGGAGCGCACCTTGAAGAGGATCGATGCGTGAGACACCACCACCTGCTGAACAAAAGTTGCGTGTGCTTTCAACCGGTGATGTCATCACAGTTGCATTGATTTCAGTTTCAGTTGGATGTCAGTGTTTACAGACATGGCCACACATTTGGTGTTTGCAGTGTTGGCGTCTTCGGCGCGTTGTTTGTTGGCGCTTCGCGTTGGTATCGCGTAAGTTTCCCCTTTACTGGTCCCTCTTACCTTTCCAATACTTTGTGTAGCGTAGGTAACTGTAGGTTTGGGAATGTTTGCACGTTTGCATGTTATTTTCAAACCTGCATGGAACAACTTTATTTGCGTTTTTTTGTGCATGTGCTTTATTTTAACTGAACCCAAATAAACGAAACAAACAAACAGACGGCAGTTGATATGAAGCACTGAAACGAAGCACGGCAGTTGATGTGACACTTACTGCATTCCGATGCACGTCGTTTAGGAGTGCATGTTGTTTTCTTTTGTTTTGGTTTGTCGCCGAATGCAAAACGCAAACAGACAAACGGCAGTTGATGTCACTGAAACAAACGCGAGACGCCAGTACAGTTGATGTGGAGCACAGAACAGTTTATGTTTTCATTTTTGGTTTTTGCGTTCAAGCACGGAGAGAGGGAATTCACTGCAAAGATGTCACAACACATGTTCTGACGCGCGACATCAAAGATGTCTGAAAGGAAAACTTCAGGTGACACGGCAGGTAACCTCTCAGGTTTTGTGCTTGGCCGGACTCTTTTCTTTTTTTTGGTGTGTGTGTGAGGGTTGGAAACAGTTTCAACTAATTAAGTAGTTGCCTGTCGCCGACTTAGAGCCATGGCAAACCGACCTACACCACCACCGAATTCAGCTGGCATGGAATGCTACCCTGGGACCGATATGACTGGAGTGGAAATAGAGCTTTTGCGTGAATTGATGCGCAAGGCAGAGCGCAACCAGATGATGACGCAGACTCTGTCATTGCACCAATTAGAACATAAGCATGCTCCTGACCCACGTCAGGCTGAATGGACTGCACAGAAGGCCGCAGGACAATGGCCAGGATGGAAGGGAACTGGACCGCCTCCAAAGAGTGCGAATCCACCTGCATCGTCTGGGCGACCGCCCGAGATGAACTATGACCCTGACGATGACCCATGGGCCGCAGTGTCAACTGCTGCACCAAAGGCTGATCCGCCTGTTTTGCAGATCTTTGGGAATGTTCAGCAAGGCACACCGCCAATTAATCTTCCACCTGCTGCCACTGCAATGCCTAAGTCTGGGTTTCCAGAACATTCAGCTGCCGCTATGGGGACAGAAGCAATGTTTCCACCAGCAAAGGCTTCTGCTCCTACTGCACCAGAGAATTCAGCAGCGAAACAGCTGCCTATTCCAAAGGCAAGCGGGCCCAACAAAGCAGCCAGGAATTCGACTCCCAAGATTGAAGAGGTACCGGAAGAAGCTGATGGGGACGGCACTGGTGGACGCATGGATGAAAGCTTTAAGAGGAATCGAGATGTTTTTGAGGATGAAGACGAACTCTTTGGCTTTGAGTATATTCCTGCAGATGTCTCACCGCCGTGGTTCCCAAATCACCTGTGGGGGATTCCAACCACAATTCAGCATAATGCAACGGATTGGAATGACAAGAGTTGGTACCCCAGCTATCAGTCTGGTGACATGGACCCAGCTGTGCCTTATCCAGTGCATGTGCAAGGCATCAAGTCGTGGGCCAGCACGAAGATCAAGCTGAAGAAATGGAGGGACAAAGAAATGTCCTACCATGAATTCATTCTGAAGGTCTTCAACCACGATGATGAGGCCGGGCAATATGCCAAGTGGATTTTGGCACACTATACGTCCAAGATCACAGCTACGCCCAAGTCGCAGGCTCCAGATCTTGCCGCTTTCCTCAAGAAGATGAGAGTGGATGTGTTTTTGTATGCAACGACGGCGTACCGCAGGGAGTTGATGAGTGTGGACTTCGACGAGAAGCCCTAGCCTGGTGTTTCCATGTGCATGCTGACAGTTTTTGCATGATGATGCAGCTATGACTGCATGAACCAATGTATCTCTTTCAGATCTATGTCAGTCGGAAATTCTGGACTTCTGGTTTTGGTGGAGTGATTTTTTTTTGGATGCACAGTGCAATTCGAGATGATGTAATTTATTGCAATCACTGCACGTGGCACTGTCTATAACGAGGTTTTTGGAGTTCACTGCAACTGGAACGGGATCAGGCTGGCAATCTGATTGAATTCAACAGTACAATATACGTATTTTTGATGCGATGGTCTGGACAATTCACCTTTGTGGTCATCTTTCCGGACAAGCTTATACCTATTTGCATGGTCAATGCAATGTTGACGGATGTCTTGGCAAGAGGGGGTATGAAAGTACACCAGTTTGTGCCAAGCCATCGTACTGGATGCGTCGAGATGGTAGTGAATTCATCCACGAATTCACTTGGAAATGGACGGCCCTCATTGAATAGATTTGTTTTGGACAAGTGTCATCTACGGATGAACTATGATATGTGGTTTTCAACGTTTTCTGGGAGCTTGCATTCTGCATGAGGTTTTCGCCGAGTATCAACAACGGTTGAGGATGTTTTTGTGCAAAACAACGTTTGCTGAAAACTCGTTTTTGGAGAGTTGCGAAATTTGATGTGGAGATGATGAAGATGGTTTTGCCATTTGCATGGCAATTTGGAATGTCGTTTATTGTCTTCGCATGTGCATGCTCGACAACAAACTCCAAACCTTTTTTCAACCTGGTTTTATTTCAACAACTTTGTGGACGAGAACTTTGTGGAGATGGTTTTGCGTTTTTCACTGCATGCTGCATGTGAGCAACTGGAAACTTTGTTTTTGAGTGGTGCATGATGTTTTTCCAACAACGTTTGCACGGCCGGCTTTTTCATTTGAGACTGGGATGATTTTTCTGCTGAAATCTGATGCTCCAGCACGGTGCATGTCAACAACAAAAATAAAAGAGACAGCGACACGGCACAGTGGCTAGAACAGAGCCAAGGACACTTTTACTTGTCTTTTCGTGTGTTGCGAGAAAAAGGTGAGATTGAGCGAGGTCAAGTCACTTAATTTGAGTTTGGTTTGCTTGCGTGTTTTTGCAAGCTTTATCGGCATCGCCGGTGCTGCACGGACCCCAAGCGTAGGTCGACGCGCGCACGCGGCTAGTGGTTGTAAGCCTGAATTTTCGCAGAAGGGCTATAAGTTGGTTGAGCCGGGCAGGAGGCAGATAATCTCCAGGGCGATTCAATGCTCGCAGTCCGAGAGGACGGTGGAGGAGCTTCTGCCTATTTGCTGCGGCAGCTCTTCCTTTGGATAGGCCCCCGGGTGTTTGCCTATGGTCACCCACGAATACGATAAGTGCTGGCTGTTGGATGGCGGCAAGTGCAGCAATTTCGTGGTAGTTGCCATACTGTTGGCTTTCATCCATAAATGCTAGCCACGCTCTGGAGAGCCATAGACTAAACGAGGAATATTTCATGGCCATTTCCGCGGTAGCAGAGCCTCCAGTCGCAATCAGAATGCGCTTCTCCGCAATGACTCTGTTGCGATCGCTGCATCGAACATCAATTTTTGTTGCATAAGCTTCGCCCTTTCCTTCCTCAATCCGACCTAACAACCGTCCAAAGGCTGATTGCGTTGGTGGGGAGAGATCACTGATCTGGTCAGCAAGGGCTTTTGCAGCAACAAAACGGACGCCAACAAGACATTCAGCAGCCAAAGATTTAAGTGTTTGACGATAAGCGTGGCTCCGAAAACAGGATCCAACAAAACTAGTAGAAACATCGCGGCCATAAAA